TAGCTTTCCTTCTTTATTAAATTCCCTTAAGCATTACTCATATTATAATTCAAGTTTCTCACTCATAGGTGGGAACTGAACAATGAGATCACTTGGACTCGGGAAGGGGGACATCACACACCGGGGCCTATTATGGGGAGGGGGGAGGGGGGAGGGATTGCATAGGATTTATACCTGATGTAAATGACCAGTTGATGGGTGCAGCACAGCAACATGGCACAAGTATACATATGTAACAAACGTGCACGTTATGCACATGTACCCTAGAACTTAAAGTATAATAATAAAAAAAAAAAGAAAGAAAAAAAATAATAATTCAAGTTTAAGACAGGACAAATCTCACAAAGTATTTATGGTGAGTTCTCTTCTTCTTATAAATGAACCCATAAAAAAGTATCCCCTAATTCCTCTAGTTTTTCCAACCTCCTTGGTTTTCTAAAATTGAAAAAAAGTTATTCTGGTGTACTAAAACCAGAACCAAGTTTCCTCAACATCTTCAGTTAAACTACCTTTAATTCCTCAATCAAGGCATACCACACAATGTTACCTACACTTCACAGTAAAGGACTCTGCGTGGCTGCTGTTTTTTGCTTAGTGTAACCATTACACAACAGTATGTACTTGTCACCCCTGGCCTCCTAAAAAAAAAAATCCAGAATTTATTATCTTGACCTTAGGTGCCAAATGAGGCTGGCCAGGCTTTCTCCTGGGCTAAGATCGTAGATGGTTAGGAGTAAATAAAACCCCAGCTTCGTGATTCTGTATGACATCACACACTTTCAGCCTAGCATTGCCAACTCCTGGGCACATTACCCTGAGCTTCTTTTAACAAAGGTGGTGATGTTCATTTAAAAAATATCAAGACACAGATTAATAAAATTCAGAATATGGTATGTACAAATCCATCTTTACAAAAGGATTTTCTAGAAATTCAAGGAGAAAAATGCATAATATACATATTTTACTGTTCCTTATATATACAAAGACCTTTGTTATAAGTAATTACTAAGCTAACGATACAGTTTTACTTCAAGATTAGTTTTTCCTATGGTGACATTAGCATCTGACTACATTCATTCTGAGATAGCCTGAAGCAAACGTAGGTGGGGGCGCCTGTCACCCTGTTGAACAGTTGCCAAAGAAAGTACAGATGTTGAAAAAAGGCAGTTGTAACTTTGAGCAAAAATCGACCTAATTATTTGTGATTATATGCCATATTTTTTAAGGTGAGCATCTCAAGCCACCTGTTTGGTTTTTTAATAATACAGCAAATTATGTTATTCTTGCAACATTCTTGATCTCTTTAGTTGCAGGCCAGTAGTAATTCCTTCCCTCCTGCTTAAATTATATGAATAAAAATGAAAGGACAGGCTGGGCACGGTGGCTCATGCCTGTAATCCCAGCACTTTGGGAGGCTGAGGCGGGCAGATCACAAGGTCAGGAGATTGAGACCATCCTGGCTAACACCCCGTCCCTACTAAAAATACAAAAAAAATTAGCCAGGCGCGGTGGCGGGCACCTGTAGTCCCAGCTACTCGGGAGACTGAGGCAGGAGAATGGTGTGAACCCGGGAGGCGGAGCTTGCAGTGAGCAGAGATCACGCCATTGCACTACTCCAGCCTGGGCGACAGAGTGAGACTCTGTCTCAAAAAAAAAAAAAAAAAAAAACCCTTAACAAAATACTAGCAAACCAAACCCAACAGCATATAAAAAAGATTATACACTAGGACCCATTAAAATTCATCTCAGAAATGCAAAATGGTTCAACATACAAAAAAAAATATGAGTGTATCACACCATATCAATACAATAAAGGACAAACACCAACATTTCAATAGATGATCATCTCAACAGATGCAGAAAAAAACATTTGACAAAATCTAACATCCCTGCATGAAAAAAAGCACTCAATAAACCGAGAATAGAAGGGAACTTCCTCAATGTGATAAAGGACATTTATGAAGAAGCCATAGCTAATATCAGACTTAATGGTGAAAGATGAAGATTTCTAAGATCAGGACCAAGGCAAGGATGTCCACTCTCACGCTTTCTTTCTTTCTTTCTTTTTTTTTTTTTTCCCGAGACAGAGTCTTGCTCTGTCGCCCAGGATGGAGTGCAGTGGTACGATTTCAGCTCACTGCAACCTCCGCCTCGAGTTCAAGCGATTCTCTGGCCTCAGCCTCCCAAGTAGCTGGGACTATAGGCACCCACCACCACACTGGGCTAATTTTTGTGTTTTTAGTAGAGATGGGGGTTTCACCATGTTGGCCAGGCTGGTCTTGAACTCCTGACCTCAGGTGATCCACCCATCTCGGCCTCCCAAAGTGCTGGGATTACAGGTATGAGCCACCGTGCCTCGCCCACTCTCACTATTTCTATTCAACACAGTTCTAGAGGTTCTAGCCAGGGTAATTAGGCAAGAAGACAAAAGAAAAATCATCCAGATTGGAACAGAATAAGTAAAATAAATATCACATCATACTTGTGAGGATGGCCGTTATCAAAAAAACAGAAAACAACAAATGCTGGTGAGGCTGTGGCAAACCCTTGTGCACAGTTGTTAGGAACGTAAAATGTCGTAACTGTTATGGAAAACAGTATGGAGACTCTTCAAAAAATTAAAAACAGAACTACCATATGGCTCAGCAATCCAACTTACGAAACAGAACCTTGAATTGATATGCTCTTTAAAGGGCATAGAGTTTTAGTCATGCAAGACTAAAACTTTTTTTTAGTTTTTAAAAGTTCTAGAGATCTACTGTACAACAATGTTCATATCATAAACAATACTGTACTGTACACTTAAAAGTCTGTTATGAGGGCAATTTCATGTTAGTTTTTTTGTTTGCGCTTTTTTGTTGTTTGAGAGAGGGTCTTGCTTTGTCACCCAGGCTGGAGTGCAGTGGCGGGAACATGGCTCACTGTAGCCTTGACTTCCTGGGCTCTAGCGATCCTCCTGCCTCAGCCCCACAAGTAGCTGGCACTAAAGGTACATACCACCATGCCAGGTTAATTAGATTTTTTTTATCATAATAAAAAAAGTAAAGTTAGGAATCAATTTAACAAAAGAAATGCAAAACCTATACTCTGAAAACTGCAACATGTTATTGAAAGAAATTAAATAAAATATAGATAAATATGTATGCAATAAAATATGTAGAGGGAGGCTGGGCACGGTGGCTCACGCCTGTAATCCCAGCACTTTGTGAGGCTAAGGTGGGTGGATGACCTGAGGTCAGGAGTTGGAGACCAGCCTAACCAACATGGTGAAACCCCGTCTCTACTAAAAATACAAAAAAATTAGCCGGGCGTGGTGGTGGGTGCCTGTAGTCCCAGGTACTTGGGAGGCTGAGGTGGGAGAATCGCTTGAACCTGAGAGGTGGAGGTTGCAGTGAGCCAAAATCGTGCCACTGCACTCCAGCCTGGGCAACAACAGTGAAACTCCGTGTCTATCTCTCTCTCTCTCTCTCTATAGAAATATATATATGTGGAAAATTATGAGGTATTTAGAATGCATTGGCAAAACAACTTTGTGTTTCCAGCCAAAACCCTAGAGTCAGTCTGGTGGAAAACTGAGATTCTGCATTGCATTTAGTTAATTTATTGGGGTCATTTATTCTTACAAAACAGCATTTCTTTTAGTAAGAAGTAATCCTTTTGCTGTTTTTAATTTCCACAGCAAATCAAATCTGCACAGCGCTTGCCATCCCCTCTTCCTAAGAATCTAGCTCCCTCTTTTTCAAGGCCCAATCTTAAATACCACATCCACAGACAGGAATTTCCTTACCAGCCAATCGAACTCCCTATACTTTGTTACCCTGTTCTATTTTCTTCTGGGATTTCGCACCTTCTTTTTCTCTTTTTCCAGAACTAAGGCTGCATGAGAGTAGGGCCTTCGCCTTGTCCTTGCTATGTCCCAGTTCCTGGCAGTGTTCATGGTGATGGTCAAATATTTGGTCAACAACAGAATCTGGCACAAAAGCTTTCCTCTTCCTGGGTCCCCGCATTCCTATTCCTAAAATGAGGCGGCTGCCTGATCGCCCATGACCCCCCGCTCCGCCTCTCCATGTTTTGGCCCTGCTGAGTGGCATCTGTACAGTAATTGCTCCCACAGACCAAGCTCCATTGCTGCCATGGGCTGTGCAGGGTCACTGGGTTACAAGAGACACAAACCCTGGCACATTGGGCATCAAGTGTTTCTTCTCTGTCTAGTGCTGGTTAAGAAACCTGGGTTCAGAGACTGTAAAGTGGGAGAAGTAGTGTTTTTCTTATACAATTCTGTTAAAACACTGCAGTTATATATCCCGCTGAATCCTCAGAAGAACCCTCTAAGTTCATCTGTGACAAGAAAGCTGTGGACTAGAGACACATGAAAGTGGGAGGGCCAGGATTCAACACAGGATGGATTCCCTTCTCTGGAAGGCATCCCCTGGTAATATTTGAGGTCCAGCTACTGTCTATGGAGATACAGGAGGGGCAGGGGGGCCTTGAGAAGGGAGCAAGAGGACAGGGCAAGGGGTGGGATCTGCTGTGACTGCAGGTCATGGGAGGTGGGGAAGGGAGTCTGCTTGGGGCCTGAGTGGTCAGGGACAGTTTCAGGCAGGAGGGGCTTCTGCTGGTATTGTGAACAGAGAGGACAGAAGCATCTGTGCAAGGACAGAGCCTGGTGAATGCCTGGGCGAGGAGAAGGCAGCGCTGGTTGGAGCCGAGGGCACATGGGAATGAGGAGGGTGAGGAGGGCAGGACCAGATGGAGGCACAGGGGCTCCTGAATACCAGGCATTGCCGACGTTTTTGAGATTGCTTACTCCAATGGTTCTCAACGTATGCCTCCAAGAACACTGGGGTTTTAAGCATTGGATTACATGGGAAAAAAAATTGTAGTCCCTTATCTCCAAAGTAAAATAAATAAATCCACGAATTTTTCTGTTTGGTGGCTGCCTATTCTCACTTCTCTTCACCAGAATCTAAGTCAAGGATAGAAGCTGATTCAGCATGAAGTTAGATAAACTATCTTGCATTTAATCAATCATTACAAAAAGTATTCATGACACATACAACCTCATATAACACCCAGGTGTGTGACCATCTATAAAAGGGGGGAAACCCAACCTCTATCCCTTTTCCACATGGGCAAGCCAAGGGTTCTGAGGGTTCGTCCACAGGGCCCGCCGGCCTGGCCTCCTGCTGCGTCCCGGGCTGTGGACCACGGACGCAAAGGCTTCTGAGTCCTGAGCGCAGACAAGGGCTTCTTTCAGGCCTTTTCTTGAGCTGCACCTGAACCTGTGTTCAGGCAGGGTTTGCAGGCACAGCACCATGTGAGACCACTGGTCCGGGGTCTCAGAGGCCCTGCTCAGGTGAATCGGCTGTGTTCTCACAAGTTCACGGAGCGGAGTGGGTGTGCAACATGAAACGGTAGTGCTGTGAGGGACAGCAGGGGCAGAAAGAGGCTGAAAAGCATCAGCCAGCTGAGAAAAGCTGAGGCACAGGTAAAGGTGGGCACCTGGAAGAAGCTCTGCCAAATGGAGTCCTCCCTGGCAGGAGTGGTAGTGCTGAGGGGAGCAGAGTGGGCTACGGGCAGGTCCAGCAGGCCCTGGGGAGAGCTCATCCTCTGTGTGTCCGTTCCCTCCCAGACCCCAGCGTGGTGGAGGAGAAGACACAGGCATAGTAAACGAAGGTGAACAGAAACATAACATCCCCACTGTAGGCTGGCCAGACTCAGGCCCTGGGGCGAAAGCAGACAGGTGCTGCGAGACCTGGGAAAAGACAAGAGAAGACAGAGTCAAGGGTGAAGGAAAGGACTAGGCAGTGGCGAGCAAGTCTAAGTGGGAAGCCTCGTGGTCAGGGATGGCCCCCAGAGGCCTTCTGAGTCAAGGCCAATTCTGAACAGGGCAGAAGGCTTATGGTCAGAATACGGTTAGAACACACCTGGCTCTGCAAGCTGAAGATGTCACTCACTGTACGTCCTCAAAACTCATTTTGGAGTTTTGTAATCTTATGTAAACTCAATAACATATCTAATATCTGGCTCAGTTATATTATCAAGCACCAGTGCTTATTTAATAAAGCAATGGTAAGGCTGGGCATGGTGGCTCAAGCCTGTAATCCCAGCACTTTGGGAGGCTGAGGCGGGCAGATCACGAGGTCAGAAAATCGGGACCATCCTGGCTAACACGGTAAAACACTGCCTCTACTAAAAAAAAAAAAAATTACAAAAAGTTAGCTGGGCGTGGTGGTGGGCACCTGTAGTCCCAGCTACTTGGAAGGCTGAGGCGGGAGAATGGTATGAACCCAGGAGGCAGAGTTTACAGTGAGCTGAGATTGCACCTCTGTACTCTAGCCTGGGCAACACAGCGAGACTCTGTCTCCAAAAAAAAAAAAAAAAAAAAAAAAAAAAAAAAAAGGCACATGGGAACTGAAAGTGCTGGCTGACACTTGTGAAGTTGTGAAGTGTGGAAGTAATGTGTAGATATGAGCAGCTGCGATAAAGGGGCTTGCCTACAAAGCCTTGGCTCCAAAGTGGTCAGGGAGAGACATGAGGTGCTCCAGGAAGACTCTCCCATCCCTGGAGGCCTGAGATGGCAGCAGTCGGGGAGGGGTTAGCACTGCCTTCATGGAGAAGGGTGGTCTTTCCTTCTGTACAGCCACTGTGGACTTAAGAGGGTCAAGCCCCGGTCAGTGGAGCTCACCGTGCCACACTCAGTCATCTGGCAGCAGCTCGAGAAGCATGTCCCTCCACGCCGTCAATCTGAGAGGCAAAGAGACAGAGAAGGCTTGATCGGCCAGAGCCCTCCACTCCCTCCATTCCTCACTCTGCGCCTTCCCTAGCAGGAAACTAGCAGGTAGGACCCAAGTGTGTGAATTTTCAGGGGCTCTGCGGAGACTGTTCCTCCCTCCCACCAGCCTTTCAGCCTGTGGCTGCGCTTCGTACAGAGATGCGTCTTTCTGTCGGGCACAGCTGGGGGCGTGGGGGAAGGGGAGGGTAGGGTTTACTGTGTACAGGTACCTCAGTAGGATCTTATCTTCTCTCGCTGGGTATAAGTTCCTTGTATTTACGAACCTTAGATTGTCGCCTCTTGTCGATGTGTTGTCCAATATGGACGCTCCCGCCAACTGGTTTGATGCGTTTGTTTTGGTCTGGGGGTTTCCATATGGTGCTGAGAAACTGGTAGAGAGAAGAGAAACACTACAGACGGCGAGACACAGTGGAGAGACAGGGGGAAGCCCGCAGATCACCTCGATAAGGAGGACCCTGGCAGAGCAGCACCTTGACAATCGCCTTGATGTGGTACACTAAGGCCCGCGAAAGGAGAGTTCTAGTAAGGTATCTTTTACCAGGGTCATCGGTCCATCGAGGGTGGTGACTGCCACTAGGAAGATGTAGGCTACGGAAGGAGGCGGTGCGATTGGGGCGCAATCTTGCGTGAGGTAGGAGTGCGGTTCATGTTGCAGAGCAAGTGGCAGTCAACGTAGGGGAGGTGGCTTCATCAGGCGTGTATCTTTAGACACAGTGTGTTCCGTGGTCTCTCTGGGCTAGAAGAGCTCATGTCTCTGCTATATCTCTCCTTTCTCTCTTCTCGGTATATAGTGTAGTGAGGGAAGAAGCAGCCAGCTCAGCTCATACTTTTCAGTCCGCTTGCCGGGCTTCCTCCAGGCACAGAAACCAGAGGTCCTGGCCTCGGCCGCACCGCTCTCTCGTCCTCCTCTAGGCCATTCTGGTCGAAGGGTCCGAGTATGTAGAATGGCGGTTCGATCCATGTTCCGCTGAAGCTTCATGACTCCTTGTAGGCAGGATGCATGTTCCGCGTGGATCTTTTTCTGGCTGACGGTCCAGGCCACAGCACGCCACATGTGTCCTAGCCACCAGCAGGGCGCCATGAAGCACACTTTTTTTTCTGGGCGGGTTTGCAGTTGGCTACACTTGGTATTCCGTGCTTCCAAAGGCCGGAGCAGGCAGCGAGGGATTCGCTTCGGAGGGCCAAGGGAGTTTTAAGATCAGGCCTGGGTGCGGGCGAGACCCTGTCCTTACAGAAGAATCAAAAAAAAAGGACAGAAAGGAGAAGAAGGAAAGAGAGAAAAAGCTCCCTAATTTCTTGGCATCGTTTTCAATGATGTGGAAGGGCAAATGCTGTCACCACTACGGAAAAAAAAATGAAAATATAAAAGACGACTGAGAGAGAAAAAGGCAATACTGGCCTTTTCAATCTGATTGAGGCAAATCTGTCCCAGTTTGGACTAGTGGGCGTTTTTGTTTTTTTGTGTGGTGTATCATTTGATTATTGAAAAACTTGTCTGGTTTATGATTCTGGTGGTACTTGAAGAGATTTCTCAACCAGGATTTAAAAAAAGAAATTCACTGAATCTTCAGATTATTTCTTCAAAATTTGATTTTAAAAAAGTAAATGTTTAACTTGATTATTAAAGTAAAAACATATTTAAAAAATTGAAGTGCCAATAAAAATGCAAATTTTGGTGGTGGTTAAGAGCCTAGAATTCCAACCCCATTACCTACTAGCAGTCCTACGTTGGACAAATGTACATTTTTGTGCCTCAGTTTCCCATCTGTAGAGACACAGTTAACACTCAACAACTGTTGATTGTTTGCTACCGGACATACATGTTCTAATTGGTTTTGATTTTTATGCTTTCTTCAGCCTATGTTTGGAAAGAGTTTGAACATTTTTTGACTCTTTTTCATTGAGTAAATCCAAATATTTGTAAAAGAGTTATATATTTCTTTAACAAAAACTTAACATGGACTAAGGACCTATCTTAAGGCATCACACATAAAACAAAGTCAGTATTGATTCAATACCGGCGCTTATACTACGACATCACTTGTTAAATTTGTTTTCTAAATAAAGCACAGAGGTCATGGAAAATACGTCACACTCCAGGGCAGTGGTTGCTATGCCTGGTTGACGTGTTCTTTTGAACTGTTGAGGGTTCTTTTTAAAATACAGATTTCTGTGACCCACCTAAGATAATCCGATAATCGGCCATATGGATGAGTCACTTAGAGATACCCATTTTTAAGGATTAGGACCCCGAAGCCCAGAAAAGCCCTGCTGTAGTCAACATTATAGTCACACTCCACAGGCACTGGGTCCCCTCCTTTGGCCGACATTCCTTTGCGGTTTTCCCACCCTTTTTCCCTGCCTGGAGAACTCCTATTCATCCTCCAGAGCCCGGCTCAAAGTGGCTTCATCTGTGGGGATCCTCCCTGCCCCACAGTGGGTGCTCCTCAAGGCCTCACCCTTCCTAGGGCATCCCAAACTCCCGGGGGCTGCCCCTGCTGCCTCGCCATCCGCTCCAGAGCTGGCTGTACCTCAATGGTTAAGGGCAGCCAGGCGCGCTGCTTCTCGTCCAAATACACAAACTTGTCCCAGGCCCACAGGCGGTCCGGGTGGTCGGTGACTTCCTCCTCACGTAACGGGCACTCGGCCATGGCACCCTCAGGCCGCCTAAGAAGCAAGAGCCAGAGCCTCTGGAGGCTGCTCGCTGGTCCCTGGGATGTGGGGCCGACGCTTTATATCCGGGCAGCATGCGGCCGCCACCAAGCGGCGGGGCGGGAGGACGGCCTTGGGGCGGGACCCGGGGTCGGGAGGACGACCTTGGGGCGGGGCGTAAGGCAGGATGGGGCGGGGTTTGTGGGGGTCCCGGTGGCAGGTGAGGGTCCCACGCAGGCGCTACGTCCCGGCCTGACTGGCTCCCTGGAACGGTGGCAGCGCCTAGGAACGGAGACCCAGCCCTGGCTGACCCACGGCTTCCTCGAGGCCCCAGCCAGCCGCGACCCCGACCGCCGCCCTCCGCTGCTGCTGGAGAGTCACCCGGGGTGACCTTGGCCCTTTCTTCTTCTGGGAGACCCTGCCGCTTCCCTCGGCTGCCGGACCGGGACTATGGGCCTCTGCTGGGAACTCACAGTCGACACTAGGATGCCCAGAGCCGGGACCCAGTCCTCATCTTCTGGGATCAGAAGAGACCCACGCGGGCCTGAGTTAGGCCTGGGCTTTCCCGGGTTCCCTGGATCTCCTCCAGCTTGTGCCTTTGAGTGTCAGGGTCCATTTCTTGGCAAAGGACAACTCCTGACGCTCTGTCTTCCATACACAAAGCATGCGTTTTCCACAGGTCTGATGATGCTGTGGACATCTAATAGCTATTACAAAACGGAGAAACATGGGTTTTTCCCCTTGGGCTTTGAATTTACTAGTGAAAGCATAGCTCAAAATGAATACTTAAAAAGAAACCCCTCCTTCCACCCTAAGATCAATGGATTTGAAAAGTCCTTGGTTTATATTATCAAAACCACCCCTCTGTAAATTACAAGCAATAAGGAAAACAATTTCACTTTATTTTGCAGTAACACATTCCCACTAAGGCAATTAAGAAAGTCATGCACAATGAAAAACATGTGAAACCAGCTCCAACCTGGTTCAAACATCACCATGGGATGGAGTTTGGTGTCTCACCTTCTAGCTCTTTCCCGGTTCTCTGACCAGGCACTAAGAAAATAATTTGTGATCCTTTGAAATATCACAAAAGTGGAAATTAAGAGATCTGATGAGGACATCTGATTCACCTGACAGCTGGATATCTGCCTCTTTGCCTATTCAGACAGCCTAATTCCCAAGAAGGGGCTGAGGTGGCCTAAGGTAGTCGAGATATAATGGGATTTACCAGGAATACAACATAGAAGAGAAAAGTCAAGGGCAGTTGAGGGTGGAGCGAGAGCCCTTAAGCTCAGCAAACCTCTTTTCCACTGTAGCCCTTAGTGGTATTAGTATTTAATATACAAACTTATAGGTTTCACGCTGATTTTCCTGTGAATGGCTCTTGACTCCAGACCCAGATAGCCACAGAGCACGATGAAAAGCTCACTAATAAGCTCTGTTGGGGAGGTCTTAGCCCAGGCCAGAGCTTTGAGGTGAGAAATAACAAGTCCAGTTTAAATAGTGCTGCTGGGACGGACTTTTGTGACCAGGGAAGGGGTACCCAGGAGCCAGTGTGGCCACTGACCCAGCCACATCAATGGCCCTAGGACCGAGAATGCTACAAACAATGGAGCAAGAATCAGATCCGTGTGTCTGGGTAAGCAGAATGTTCTGGGAATATAATTCCTTTTTCCTTCTTTTGTAAGAACAATTTATTTCTTCAGTTTTGCATGAGGGCTTCTTAATATTGAGCAGGAATATATATCATTCTTGTGTGGGATTTGGAAAATTATTTGAGAAAGGGTTCCAATAAATGAAAATGAATTAAGGATGACTGTGGAGTTCATTGGGCAACTTATAGAGCTTTTTTAAGTGAACATTCCACAAGAGGGGAACCAGTAGCTATTGCATAGTCTCAGAGCTATCTCTGAGCCTCCGTGGCATGTTATCTGCCCCATCTAAGGGCTATAAAGGCCATAAGCCTAGCTTTAGAATTTTATGTTCCTTTCTGAGTCTTTATTAGTCTGATTTCCCTATGTTTCATACAGAAAGCTACAGGAAGCAATCATTTTGACAGAACCCTTAATGGATGCATTCATATCCTGATTTAGATCGAGTTTCGCCTTTACTACGATCACCTGTGAACCAGGCAACTCCTTTGCCAACTTGGCCTCAGTGCCGTAGTTTTGTAATGAATGGGCCAAACTACCTGCTCTTTAAGCCTGTTTCTAACTCAATGGGCCCCAATCCTCCCATAACATTGCCTAGTGGGAGGAGGGAATAGTTAAGAAAAGAGATGGACAAAATACATGATGTTAGTTCAGGAAAGCCTACAGTTTCAGGCACAGTGGTTCTGGATCAAAGACCCCAGTGAAATTCATGGAAGCCATTCTTCTTGTTTGAGTTCCAAAGAAGGGGTTGAGGGGTAGTCAAGGCCATCAGGATGACCTTGACTCAAAGTATGGTCCCTGGACCAGCTGCAATAGCATCATCTGGAGCTCATAAAAATGATAGAATCTGGAGCCTCCCCCAAGACCTAGTAAGTCGGAATCTGTAGTGGAACAAGACCCCCAGGTGATTCATGGGCATGGTAAATGTTGGGCTACATGGAGGGAGGGTCAACAGGGGGTGATAGGGGGTGTCTAATTCAACACACCAGTGCCCTCTAGATTTCTCCAACTATGACACAGGACTTATACTGATGTTTATGTATCATTTAGTTCCAGGCTATCTTATTTTCTGTCAAAATCACCTCTAATATATAGAGTGTTTTCCTCTTAAAAGAAAATCCTGTAAGCAAGGTCATCCTAACCAGCCCTGGGGTCTTTGATTGTCAATGATTATAGCAAGCTGTAAAGAACCTATTT